GCTTTTAGGGCTCCTCATTGTTGGTGGACCGATTAACACATTCACTTCTATTTTTGATCTCAATAGTCCGCCTTCAGGCACTCGTGGAATATTCCCTCCACCCGAATGAGGTAATTGCGGTCATAACTGCAGAATTAGTGTCTCGTCTCAATGCTGCCCGGCCCTGTTTCGCTGTGAAACTGCCATATGGCAGCTTGCAATGAATAACTTACCCATTCACCGTTTTTCCCGTATTTTGCATACACTCATCGTAGAAACCGTAAGTGCTGGTCGTGTTCACATCTTCATGATTGCCACGGAGCAGAAACACTCGGTCCGGGTAGCGCATTTGATAGCAGAAAAGCAAAATAGCCAATTCTAATCCCTGTAATCAGTCCACCTATCGGTAATGGGTAAGAGTGAGGTGTTTTTGACCAATATCTAATTCCAGGAAAGAAAAACACAGTAACGGAGCGTTCATAGTCGGCGATCGTGAGTGCGACCAGCATAGGCGATTAGGTGATCGCTCAATGGGCGGAGCAACAAATCAATACGTATCCTTTTCCTTATCGCCTACTCGCCTACTCGCCTAATCGCACGTACGATCGCCAACTATGAACGCTCCATAAGCCGAACCTGAGTTCCTCTATCGACGTAGTCACCTAGGAAAATGTAAGTGTTTCGTGAAGGATCACCACAGCGATCTAAAATTTTTCGTAGGTCGACTAGCTGGCCGTGAAGATCGCCAACCACTGTTATCGGCAGGGCATCGCTGCAAAATTGGAATGTTGAGTATTTTTTCTCAATAACCATACATTCCTTCCGTTTCGTAGCATCTTTTTTCCATTGTGTGCTTTTGCCCCTTTGAAATGTTTTTGTTAGCGCTCTTAGCTCGACTCTCTCACGCACTCTACATATCCTTCCTACCGTTCCTTCCCCTAATTTGCACATTTACTATTATGCTGCTATCTCCACCCGCGGAAAAATCCGCATTTCTCCCGGTTTCTCCAGCCAACGAATTTCCTTTTCCCTAGGCTATGAGGGTGTGGACAGCAGCGACGGTTCGTGGCTTTATTGGAACCATTTATCAACCTTCGAAAAAAATTCACTATCGCATCGAAATTTCCGTGGCCTAGCTGATCGTGCTCTTAGAAGGGTACAGCATGTCAACCTTTTTTCGATAAGGCATATTCTAGTGGTTCCCAGACATCATTGTCTTGCTGCCTCATTGCATCATTGTCTTAGTTTTACTCCATGATTTGGACTTTGAGGAAGAAAAAATCCTACAAAGTGCGCGTACTGTACGATCCAGCATCGTAGGATGATTCCAGCTGCATTGCCCCAAGTCCGCTGCATTGGTCCCTCAGGATCTGGGAGACCAACTTCCATTATCCTTCGCTTGAGGTCGCTCTTCTCTGCTTGGTGCAACTTCCACCACCGGATTCTCCTCTCGGTTCTTACCCTTGTCTTCTTGGGGAGGTCTATGGCTAATGTCTGCCAGGAGGGGCCTGTGCTGGGGAGCCAGTTCTTCGCCAGGGAACCTTGATATCCTTCACAGTTTCTGAGGGATGATCTTTTACCAGCACATGGTCGATTTCCGTTTGTCGCCCTCCACTGCTGTAGGTGACCTTCTGAGTCTCCCTTTTCGCGAAGAACGTGCTGCAGATTGCCAGATCGTGGGCCGTAGCCAGGTCCAGGACCCTCTCTCCCTCGGCGTTCCTCACTCCTATCCCTCTACCTCCGTGCACCCTTTCCAGGCCTCTTCTGTCACTGCCGACGTGACCATTCAGATCACCTGCTATGGTCAGGTAATCACCTTCCGGAATCGATCTTGATGGCTTCGTCAAGGCTCAGATAGAACTCGTCCTTCTCACTTTCGGGGCATCCGGCTTGCGGTGCGTACACGGAGAGTATGGTCCAGTACCCCTCCTTCGTGTCTATCCTCACAGCCATGATCCGATCGCTGATCCTGTTCACAGCGGAGACATAGTCCTTGAGCGACTCCGCTACCGCTATGGCCACGCCGTTCCGCTTGGTGTCTTCTCCATTGTAGTAGAGTTTGACACCTTCCCCGATTTCCCTGGCCTTAGCACCTTTCCATCGCGTCTCCTGAAGGCATAGGACTTGGATATTCCTGCGCGTCATCAGATCAGCAACCTCTCGGGACTTCCCAGTTAGCGATCCCTAGAGTCCCTATTCGAACTAGCTTCTTTGGCCGAGGCCGTTCACTCCTCGGTAGCCCTCGCATACTGACCACAGAACTCGGGCGGGGGTTCTGCGCGCCACTTCCGGGTGACGTCCTAGCTTTATCACTGATTCTTTTCGACTTTAGACATGTTTGGTGTGACTGGGGTCTTCATCAGCCGGCCTGTCAACCTGGGCCTGACGCTGGTACTAGAACCATTTTTGCAATTTTTGCAGGGCATGGTTTTAAGCCTCGGCAGGGATCGAACTCGCGGTTTTCAGAGGTGCAGACATGAGTCTAACCTCTTAACC